AGCCGGACTCCGGGCGCTGAGCGATGCTTTTCTTCCTTTATCTCCAAGCGCCCTGCAAGGATGACCACGCTCACGCGCCAGGACCTCAATTTCGGACAAGGTACCCCCCGGAGATCGCGGGGCTCCCCGTGGAGCTGGGGATCGGGGCCCCTCGAGGCCACAGAGCTCCCTTTGGGTCCCCGAGGCTCTGACTTTTAATCCAAACCACACAGACTGGACCTCAGAAGTCCCCCCGCCTATTTATGCTCCGTCCTTCCAGTAGATCAATTTGCCAAACCAGCCAACTGCTTCCGCTTTACTCAAGCGAACCCCTCAAAGTGGGGGCACTCTTGTAATTTAAACGGGCAATTTAACGCGAACGGCCCGGAGACCAACTTCCAGTGCAGCTTAAGCTGAGTTTTCCAGTGTTTAAACAAATCCTCTTTTTTTCCCCATCCGCCAATTCCTTCCTCCTCCGTTCTAGTGGTCGCCGACGTCCTTTCGGAGTTTTTGGAAGTGGCCATTCACCTTATTCTCTACGTCCGAGAAGTTTACCCCACTGGCATTTTTCAGAAGAGGAAAAAATATAACGTACCTGTTCAGGTAAGAGAGATTCAGCGCACGTCGGCAGACTCCAAATCGTGTGGCAGAACAAGATGGTAGATGAGGTCCAAGCCCCCAGTTCTCCTTTCTGCACTGCGTTATTTGGTTACTTATATGCATGCTTGCAAAATGTTCTGCTTGAAGGGCGCCAATCAACTCTAAAAACTTTCAGAAAGCCATCTTTGATTAATGCTGGCAGCTTCAGCATGTTAAAGGTCAGGCCGGGGTGTGTTTAAAAAGGCCTCCAAAATAGACATTCTTAAATAGGAGCCAAAGCAAGCAGGTTGGGGTGAAATAAATGGCTTATATTGTATGCAAATAAGTGGAGAATGCTTTAAAAAAAAAAGGCAGGTAGGGACTAAAAAAAGCCACTCCGACCAAACTTAGTTTCACCATGCACATTTAAAAAATAATGAAAAAGGAAGTGAAAATAAAAGGCACAGAGCACAGTTAAATGTGTAATAGGTTTTCTCCCAAACTTAGCAGCGGCTTTTATGTCGGATCAAAGCTCACCTGTGAGCCTTGAAATGTGGAATCCATCGGATGATCTACTGTCTAGAACTGCAGTTTGGTAGAAGGGGAAAAGAATTGATCTGAAATTGGAAATTCAGTGCTCGGCTTTCCAGCGAACCTTCTAAGAACTAGGTCTGCTTCTGGCTGAAATCAAGATAAATTAGAGCGCTTGCATTCCCCCTATCAACTAAGGCCAGGTTTGTTTTAAAGAGAGAAACAGGGTTACTCAAGCAGAACTGATTCCTGCGCATACCTGAACCAAATGCCTTGCTTACACAGATGTCCTGCCACCCCGAACTCAATCAGTACATCCAGGATACCCTCCACTGTATCAAACCTCTACTAGAGAAGGTGAGTCTTGAAAGAGCAGGACCGCTTTGGGGAACCGCAGGAGAATTCCCTCGCGTTTCATCCAGCCTCTTTTCGTAGCGAGCCTATGAAAACCCAATCCATGGGAACTAGTTTAATGTGGCGTATCTCCATGCAGACTTTTGGGATTCACAGAGCTCTTCTCCAGAGAGAACACTTCTGGAAAGCGTCCTCGTTTCCCAATCTTTTGCAGAACGATGTGGAAAAGGTGGTGGTGGTCATTCTTGATAAGGAGCATCACCCAGTGGAAAGATTTGTCTTCGAAATCATGCAGCCACCCTTACTGGCAATCAGGTGAGGCCCCTTGCTTTCCCCCTCCCAAACGCTGGGCTGCACGGCCCTGGTCCAACCAGCCAAACTCCAAAATATTGGAAGCCTTTCCTTCCAAAAACTCAGCCAGGATCTCTGGGTCGTCCTGCAGAATGCGAGGAGAGCAAAGATCCAGGCTGCTTACTTTAGGGACAGAATAAAATTATGAATAAAATAAATCAAACCCATGGACAAACATCCCCTTTAAGGCCCAGAGGAGGAGCTCCGTTTCAATCAGCTGCTGTGAGATCTGATTTTACAGCAGCCCAGCCCAAAGTTTCTCAACTTCTGCAACTTGAAGAGGTGTGGGCTTCAACTCCCAGAATTCCCCAGCCAGCAGAATTCT